AAAAAAAAAAAAAAAAAAAAGAGAGAAAAAAATTCCTTCCACCGTGCTGGACATCGAGGAACACACATCTTTCCAGAAATCGACCGAATTAATTTTCCAACGATAACGATCTTCTTTTTTTCTTTTTCTTTCTTTATTAACGATAACAGGCGTGTCTGAAATCTCTCGATAATATTTCGGACATTTTCCAGTGTTTTCTCAACGTTCGATCAATCGTCACGATGGTTGAGCCGAACAGTCGCGCCTCGATCCGGGGGTAAAAACTTAACGTTACTTACGGGGGGTCGTTTAGGTTGAGAGTACAAAAATCGGTGACTCGCGGCTAGTTAAGACGCGCGTTAAAAACGTACGTAGTTAAGACGCAACGACGGTACAATTGAGCAAACAACACATAGGACAGCAATGAAAAATTCCTCCGAGCAGAGTCGCATTTCGAACCCTTCAGTTTCGTTCAGTTTCGCGTCCTCGTCGTGTCTTTCACCACACCAGTTCTCCTTCCCGATCGATCGACAAAAACCGGCTGAAACGCAGCGATTTCGTCGTTCCTTGGCACGTTCACTTTTCATATCTATTATTCTCATTCAGCGTGGAACGCGAGAATCGCGAGTGAGACGACACAGCGACAAGAAAAGAGACGACTCGCGTCTCTCTCACGTCTGGAAACGAGATCGTTCGTATAATGACACGATCCTTTGAAATATATACAAATAGATTAGGAAAACGGTATACGGTACACGAGTGTGTGCGACGAACGACGGCTTTTGGTTTAATAAACGGGGACCGGCGAGCGAAGAAGAAGCGAACAACGACCTTCGTCTTTACTCGACTAATGGGCGTCCTTGCGCCAAACTAAATTGTTCTCAACAGCTTTCTGTCATTCTTTTTTCTTTTTTTCCTTTCGAAAATGACTGATTATCGTTATTATCCAATTGATACACGAACACCTGTCGTGTCGTATTTTCAAACTTCGAGGAAAGTGTATAACCAAGAATCGGTTTTCTTTTCGCTTCCAGTCCACTCGATCCAGTCTGACAGCGACAGAGCTTAAGAGCGTTAAGGGGAAATCAACGGTGAAACGATGCCGAAGATCGATACAGCTGAACAGTTGAAAAGTTCCAAAGAACTCTGTGTTTGTGCTTGAACAATTGTTATTTGAACGTGAGATTCAGACGAACGAAGAATCGAGTACAAAGGGTGTTTCTGGTCCTGATGAGGCGGTAGGTACTCGTTCCTTTCTAGAAATTACGAAGAAACCGTGTGACAAGTCGCGCCGTTTGT